CTCTCTTTCGCCCCCCCCACCCACACCCCCCTGCTGCCTCAGTGCTGGGCTCCCCCCCACCAGTGCTGACTCCGCCCACTCCCCCCCTCGCCTCCAGCCGGTCCGGCGCTGGCAGGATCAGGATAAGCAGCAGGGCGCCTGGGCTGTGCCTCAGCCCAGGGTCCCTCCAGCCAGGGCTCCCGCCTCCAGGACCACCCGGGAGGGCAGAGCCGAGGGGACCGCCCTGGCAGGGGGCTGAGGAGCTGGGGCAGGGTAGCCCCAGAAGGAGCAGAGCCCCGGAGAGTGGGATGCGGGCCTCACACGGCAGCGCCCCGCCCTCTATGGCCCCGCTGCTGCTGCTTCTGGCCACCCTGCCGCAGCCCCTGGGCGGCTTGGTGCTGGGGGGGCGGCCGCCCTGCGGCACCTACAGGTGGCTCCATGTGCCCCATGGGGCGGCCTCCAGCCCGAGTGTTCCCCACTCGGAGCCTGCCCGGCCCAGCCACAAGGTGCAGGCACTGCTCCCCCGCGGCGCGAACCGCAGCGGCCCCAGGGCACCCCTGCGCATGACGCACTGCTGCTGCCAGGGCCGGCTCTAGGCTTTTGCCGCCCCAAGCAAAAAAAACCAAAACACCGGAATACCGCCCCTGAAAATGTTCCGCCCCAAGCACGTGCTTGGTTTGCTGGTGCCTAGAGCCGGCCCTGGTGGTGGAGGACCTATTTAATTTGTCCAGCCAAGAAGACTGATGGCCCTTTTGGAGTCTTAGCAGAGAAAACCATACAGATAGTACCCTGCTCTAGTGATGATTTGGCAGACGTTCTATTTGCTTTCTTATGCCACCCCCTTGGGTACGGTGAATTGGGGCGACCGCCCCTGGCCCCACGGGTTCGAAGGTGAGATGGGAGGTGGGCAGGCGAGCGGGATGAGGCAGTGAATGGGGAGGCAAGCAGCAGGCGGGGGGGAGGGACGAGGAGGAGGCCCCCCCCCCGAACCTCCCCCTCCTCCCAGCGCCTCCTGCCTGCCGGTGGACCCCTTCGATCAGCACCTCCCCCTCCCTCTCATCGCCTACTGCCTGCCACGGATCAGATGTTTTGCAGTGTCAGGAGGTGCTGTCGAGAGAGGGGAGAGGAGCGAGGCCAGAGCTTGCTCAGGGCAGGAGGCGGAACTGGGTGGGGAAGGAGCAGGAAGAGGCGGGGTGGGAAGAAGCAGGGCAGGGGTGGGGCCTTGGGGGAGGGGTTGAGTGGGGGTGGGGCCTGGGAGGAGCCGGGGGGAGCACCTCCCGGCAGATTAGAAATTCAGTGCCTATGTCTCAGGCCCTGCACTCCCCTAGGGACGGCCCTGGCCACCCCATTGTTATACCAATAGAATAAAAACCAGCAGGATCTTATTAAGAGGGATAAGGCAAAGATGCCACATTTATTGTAAATATACTGATAAAGCAAAAGATAAAAGTAAACAACGTTGTTTGACTACTTATTTCTTATACACACACACACACACACACACACACACAGAGAGAGAGAGATTGATTGATTGATTCATTCACACAATCATTCATTCAAGTTCTGTATAGGTGTTATAGTTACCAGCCTAGAAGTTTGCTCATGCCAAGTTACTGGCCAGGTATCTTGGTCATGAGGATGGAGCCGAGTCTGTGTCAGGTG